GGCGACGAGGGCATGGCAAAGTGGCTCGAGACATCTTGGCACCTCTAAGTCCGCCAACGCGTTCTGAATGTCCTCGCTGTTCTGGGCCATTCTGGCGACAAACCCTCGAATGACCGAGTAGAATGCCGCTTTCAAATCCGTGTACAACGACAGGTATGTGCGCTTCCTAGCTTTGGCTGCCAACATGGCCGATCGAAGGTGCAAGGATGCAATGTCAGTGCCACGTAGAGGGAGACCACCCTGCTGGACCACCGACAACATGTCCAACGATGCTTCTAGCAATTTGCTTCTGAGGAAGGCATGGTGCAGCTTCGCCACGTGACAGCCTAGCAGGATGCCTCTATAGTCGTCCAGGGGTTCAGGGGATCCAGATTTGTGTAGATCGCATTGCCGACCTCCTTTGAACAGCAGGGGCCCCCTGGACGCCATATCTATCTTCACGAACAGCGGCAACAAGATCTGAGTGCACTCGTGTGGAGCGACCTGGAAGAGATCGTTGCTGAGCCCGTCTGGTCCAGCTCCTCTCCTTTTGGCTGCCTTCATGAAGTCATGCTTGAGTCTGCGAAAGGGGGTGATCATGTCCACCCCCCTGGGGTAGACGTTTCCACGCTCGGGGGGGGCATTGTAGCGGGCCACTAATTTCTCCCAGCTGAGTATCTGCCCGTTCTCGACTACAGCAATGTAGTCCGTGAGGGCCTCCGAGAGATCTCCAGGAGTGGCCCGAACTTCGCCCTGAGGACCACGGCGGATTCTCAACCCCTCGACCTGGAACCTGGAGCGCTTTCCCCCGAATCTTTGCAGCTGGGAAGACCTGGCGCTGCGCATCTGCTGCGCGAGGTCGTCTAGCAGCCTATTGCGAGAGTGCTTCAAGGCCCCTCTCAAGGCCGGCTTCGACTTGACCAAGGAACCAATCGTATGCACGGTGAGCTCGCTCGCCGTCATCCTCTGACTGCCGTTGGAAGTTGCGCCGAGCGCCGTTGAGGTTGCCGATTCCGTCGTTGCGGGTGCCGATTCCGTCGCTGCGGGTTGCCGGCTCTGTCGTTGGAAGTTTTCCGATCTCGTCGTTGGTGGTTGCCGATTCCGTCGTTGCGACGCGCGTCTCGGTGCTGCCGGCCGAGGCCCGCCGACGCGCCGCCCGAGGGTCAGATCGTAAGTCACGGAAGGTTCCGCGTGCTTTGGACGGCACGTATATCGGCGACTAGCGCCGAACATCACTCAAATGGCGCCCACTGGCGACTGACAGCGCCCAAAAGCACTATGCGAGGGAGATGCATTCCGTGCCGGCTTTTGCGCGCCATGGGGGCGACCCACAACGTCAGTGAGCTGCTTTCTATAGGGGAACAAACAATGACATAAACATAAGAATTCGGAGGTCCGCGCGGAGTTCTGGGATCGGCGCTGGACCCCCCTCTCTGGCGCGTGGAGCGCGCCATGGGCGGCGCCGGAGGCGCCGCCAGGGCGCCCCAACGCCGATCCAAGAAATCCACGCGGACCTCAGAGTTTTTATGTTTATGTCATTGTTCGTATCCCTTATTCTTACTCGTACCGGGCGCTCGTACCCCCCCCCCTCCCCCCTCCCAATGGAGTAATTCTTGGCTGTTTTTAGCGCCTGTTCCGAACAGGTGGAGTCCCCCCAGAGGACGCACTGTTGCAAACAGTCGCGCTCAGCAGAGTTCCGGACCCAGAACCCCTCCTCCCCCCCTTCTGCCTACTGTCGCAACGCCGAATATGAAAACGTTCACTCTGCACGAACGAAATGGGCACGGAAAGAATGGGTACAATGCCCAACAGCGGACTTTGTTCGTTTTGAACAGGACTCGCTGTCCACGCCGCCGCGGCCTGTGTCCATTCGAGACAGAAGGCCGCCTGCCCAACAGCGGCCGCTGTTGGTTTGGGACAACATTTGTTGTTGGGCATTGTACCCATTCTTTCCGTACCCATTTCGGGCGTCCAAATTCACCATTGAAGAGAGGTCCCCGTATCGACAAAAGCTCACGCACTCCTCCTCCGTCTCCTCCTCCTCCTCCTCCCTCCTCCTCCCTCCTCCCCTCCTCCTCTCCTCCTCCTCTCCTCCCCCTCCTCCTCCTCTTCCTCCTCCTCCGCCCTCCTCCTCTTCCTCCTCCGCCCTCCTCCTCATCCCCCCTCCTCTTCCGTCCTCCTCCCTCCTCCTCCTTCCTCCTCCTTCCTCCTCCTCATTCGATCCTCGATTCATGGAGCAGTGGCGAAGCTTCCTGGCCAACCAAATAGTGTTCTAAGAAGTTTTTGTGTGGTCTGCACGGCATGCTCTGAGAACATTTCTGGCTGAGACGGTCTTGCTTTCACAGGTCGGGCTTCTACTCTAAGAGCAGTGCTCTTGTCCTTAGAACGTCTTTGGGCTGCAGGGAGATCTCGTGGCAGGCCTGCAGGAATGTCGGGACGGTCGGTCCCTGCTCAAATCCAACACCCCCTGATGTGAATACACCAACACACCAACCCTGAAGGTGTCCGACTGACCGGGCGCCCCCGCAAGCGTTGGCAAGATTCATTTTCCCACGAGGCTGACGAACTCGGCGCCTCCATAGGCACGGGCGCGGGACATCCCCCACAGCGTTTCCCTCCTTCCTTCCTTCCCGGCGGCGCGGACACGTGGGTCAGGAGGAGGAGGAGGAGGAGGAGGAGGAGGAGGAGGAGGTCGAGGAGGAGGAGGAGGAGGAGGAGGAGGAGGGGGAGAGGGAGGGGGAGGGGGAGGGGGATGGGGGAGCGTGGTCTCGGAAGGCAGGGACGGGCTCCACGGTTGAGCTCTCCGGGCTGCCGAGAGGGCTTCTCGGAGGCCTCCCCGGGAATCTTCCGAGCGATTGGGCGCGCTGCTTGGAAGCCACGCGTCGAGGAAGAAAAGAACTGCATAAACATAGACTTTTGGCGCTCCGCGCTGGTTTCCCCCTGGAGCGTCGCTGGAGCGCCCTGGCGGCGCCTCCGGCGCCGCCCCAGGCGCGCTCCGCGCGCCAGGGAGGGGGGTTCAGCGCAGATCCAAGGATTCCGTGCGGAGCGCCAACAGTTTCTGTTTCTGTTGTTTTTTCTTCTTTAATGTGGACGACCCAAAGTTCGTGAGTTGCGTTCTAACTGCTTCGGGGGCCAGGGCAGTCAAATATGTAAAGGCTCTGTCAGCGCTCTGCGGGGAATCAACGCTTTTGCGCGACCTCTACGCGACCTCTGCAGGACCATCGCGAGGGACTCTGTGGCGGCGCCGATCAAGCGCTGCGCACCGTGTCAAGATCTTGTCAAGTGCGCGTATGACTGGCGCGCGTCATGCTCGATCCGTACTGCTACGTGCCACCGTCATCTAGCTGATCACTTCATGGGCACCGCCATAATTACCACCAGCGCCATCAGCATCGGTGGCATCAGCTCAGACGCAACGCAGACCCCAAAAGACCCAACATCTGTACATGTATATATATAACACATATAGAGTACTACATCCAGCCTAAAGCCAACATAGAGTAGCCGAGGATAGACCCACCATAGACCACATATACAACCAACATTGGCCTAAAGTAGAGAACTAGACCCGAGCAGGGGTGGCGCGAAACTCTGAAGTCTCGCGCGGAGCACTCTGACTGAAAAACACAGCGTTCCAGGACTCGCGCAGGATTTCTCTCGCCCGGAGTAGCGAGAAACTTTGAAATCTCGCGTGGGCGCCACGCGAATCTTCGACAACTCGCGGCCGGCTCGCGCCATAATCGCTTCAGCGTCACGGCGGTTGCGCTGTGCACGCCGTTGCGCATCAGAGATCGCGCCAGACGGCGCGACGGCGGTATCGCACCCAGCACAAGCCCGCAACGCACGCATCAAATCACAGTCTTACAACGAGGGGGCTGCTCATTCGACACCACGTTTCGCAGTGTCGCGTTGCGACTCTGTCTCCGCGACGACAGCGCGGGCTCCGTGGCGGAATCGCGCATTTGGCGATGTCTGGCGCGAGTTCTGGCGCAAGACAACGGGGGTCGCCCGAGCCCGGCGCGAAGTCCCCTTTGGCCCTCGTGTTAGGGGTCTTCTGGGGCCTTCACAGTCAAAGAACATGTCGGGATGAGGGTCAGTCCGTGGGAAGGGCCCAGGGCCCACGGGCCCGCGTGAAGGAGCACATCGTGAAGTCGACGGGCCTCGCGTTCAAGATCGGTCCAGGGAGCCCTCCTGGGCTCATCGCGGGCAATCTTTCCCGGTAGCAGCTCATGGGGGCCTTGTCTAGAGTGCGCTGGCGTGCGCAGGCGTTTGGTAATCGAAGGGGGGCCCAGAGTTGGCGTCGATTCGAGTCGATTCAGCGTCGATCAGTGCGGGCTAGCATCGAGTAGCGTCGGTTGGCGTCGATTCGCAGGAGCCAGCAGGATGACATGGGAGGCTCCCCAGACCCCCGACGTCGTGATTTTTTTGCAACGTCGACCCCCAGAGGTCTAGACCCCTTCCCCGGGACCGGTTTTTCATCCTGAGTCGTTCTTTGACGGTCCCGAGGCTCGGTGAGGGCCCCCAGGCCGAAGATAGCATAATTTTCCGTCGTTTTTTTTTGTTTTTGTTTACAACGCGAGGGGTCTGGGTCCCATGAGTTGCCACCGGAGGCTTTCTCGGGAGGGCCGGTCGTGGCTCAAGAGACGGATCTTGCAGGATCCTTCGCGTGGACCCGGGCTTGGGTGCAGGGTTTTGCAGGGTCTTGCAGGATTCTGCAAGGCCTGACTGACCCGTGTCTGGATTGACCCGGGTCAACCAAGGCCTCCTAGATGGGGTCCGAGTAGATGGGATCGGAGCATCGCGCCGCATCGTCGATGCATCGGCGATGCGGCTCGATGTGGAGCCCGAGATGCTCTCCGCGCTGGCGTCGCCGATGCATCGCCGATACATCGCCGAGGCACTGCCGATGCATCGGCAATGCATCGGCGATGCGGCGCGATCCTCCGACCACACCTGCTCCGACCGCATCTCGGAGGCCTCCAGTCCAAGGGTTCCTGAGCCGGGCTCGTCGCTCCGCTCAGGTCGCCGGCGTGTGGCTGCCGTCCAAGAAGCGGGCCCAGCGCGACGCGGCCGAGCGGGCGCTCGGGCTGTGCGCCCGGCCCCCGCGCCGCCGGCGGCCCCGGCTCGGGGGCGGCCACGGGGGGCGGTGACGGTGATGGGTACAACCAGGGGCAACTCCTCCTCCTCCTCCCTCCCCCTCCTCCTCCTCCTCCCCCTCCCCCCCTCCTCCTCCCTCCTCCTCCTCCTCCTCCTCCTCCTCCTCCATCTCCTCCCTCCTCCTCCCTCCTCCTCTCCCCCGTCCTCTCCTCCCTCCCCTCCTCCTCCTCTCCTCCTCCTCCCCCGTCTCCTCCATCTCCCCTCCTCCTCCTCCTCCTCCTCCTCCTCCTTCTCCTCCTCCTCCTCCTCCTCCTCCTCCTCCTCCTACGATGCTCGCCGGTCGCGGAAAGGAGGTATCTTTGGATGTCCAGATCCCAGTCTGCTTTAGGCGCCCTCCGACCTCAAGAGTCGAGCGGTTTTCCCTCTTCCCTCCTCTTCAGGGGGTGGGCGGAAGCCCAGTCTATGTCCACTGCCTTCCTGCTTCATGTTTCTACACACTCCCGGCCGACGGGTAGGGGGGGAATAGGGTCAGGGGGGGATGCATCGACCCCCACTGGCCCATTGATCGCCGATTGGGGTTTGATAGCCCCACCCCGCCCAGGAACGTGCGGTTTCGCTAACGGGGGTCTATCGCCGATCTATCGGCGATGTATCGCCGATTCCAGGTCGATGCATCCCCCCGATGCCAGTCCCCCCCCCCGTCGTTGCCCCTCAAGAGGGTGGTGGTGGTGGTTGTGGCTGGGCGATGGATGTTATCATGGCCAGGGCTTGGAGCCGGTGGGGGGTCTGAGGTGGCCCAGCACTTGTTCCGGCGAGCAGGAACAGGGGGAGGAAGTTCGAGGTCCTGGGTTCGAGAAGTTGTTTGTCGCTTTCTTCTGTCTCCTGGGGCCGTCCTCGGGCCACGGGACCGTCGAAAACGGATCCTGGGTGAAAAAAGACTGCACCAAACGGACCCCGGGAGGGGTCTTGGGACTGGTTTTGAGTGGATGCTCCTTTCCCTTGTAACGCCCCTCACGGGTATAGAAACCCACTCGATGCAGGCGGCTCTGTGGAGCGTTGTGTGCTGTCCCCTCCTCCTCTCGTGTCCTTTCGCCGGAGGTCCACCCCTGAGGCTTTGGAAGGCTCCAGAAGGCTCTCGGAAGGTCATCGATGTGCCAGGAACATCCGAAGACCTGATTCTTAGAGTGTTGTGTCTTGGAACCCCGTCCCCAGAACTCCGACGTAGTGTCTGTTCATAGTGTCGGCGCCCTTCTGGTCATGAGCCCAGAATTCAGCAAGAGATGAGGGCGCAAACCCGACTTGTCTGGCGGATGCTTCTGGGGGGCCTGTGCTCAGGGGAGGCTGCAGCACCGCTCAACGATGCGCTGTTTAACCGAACCCGCAGGGTGGGCCCTTTGCCTAATCCGTGCTGCGGTGCGGATCGTCCGCGAGCCTCGTCGTCTTCTTCTTTTTCTTCTTCTTCTTCTTCTCCTTCTTCGTCGTCGTCGTCGTCGTCGTCGTCGTCGTCGTCTTCGGTGTCGTCATCGTCGTCGTGGTGCGTGTGGCCCTGCTCAGGGCTCGTTTCCTTTTTGCCGTGGCCAGCACCCACCATCCACCACCACTTGGCACCCCAAACCGTCTCGGAGCTCCCGCGGCGCGACGCCCGTTTCCCAATGCGACTGTGCGATGTACCATCCCCCCGCGGTCCTGCCGGGTCCCAGGAGTTTTTGTTTTCCGTCACAGCGGGAAAAAGACACACTCCCCCCCTTCTCGGCGGGGACGGAGGGCAGGCGGCTGGGGTGGGCGGGTTGACGAGTCGGTTGGGTGACGGGGCCGCTGCTTGGGATGGTTGGCTGACGGGTTGGCTGAACGGCGGGGTGGCTGGTTGGGCTGGTTGGCTGGTTGGGGTGGTCGGGTCGACAGATTGTTGGCTGGTCAGGCTGGTTGGGTTGGCAGGTTGAGCTGGCTAGGGCAAGGGGTTTCGATCCCCGCGTCTTGATCTGTTTTCTCGGGGCCGTCCAGCTCAGACTCCGGCTTTCACGGCCCCCCCAGCTCGTCATCCCGCGTGCTTCGGGCCATGATGCGCACCCACCCCTCTTGGATGCTCTCCTCTTGGACGCCCCCGAGTGGCCGCAGTGGCTGCCTCGATGTCGTCGACAACGACGACGACGGCGAGGACGATGAGTACGACGACGACGACGACGACGACGACGACGACGACGACGTTGCCACGCAGAGCGCAGCCATCTCGGACATGCTCCACCCCGCTGCGCCTGCTGCCGCGGCCTCGCGCTGGGCCGACGGCCTTGGCGGGGACGGGCTCGCCGTCGACGACGAGGAAGGCCCCCCCGCCCCAGCCGCTGGGGCCTCCGCCCCCGCGGTGCAGCGGCCGCCAGCGGAGGCCGCAGGGCAGCAGGTGCGGCCAGGCCCGCCCACCCAGCGGGCGAGCCCAGCAGTGGGGCCCTACGGGCCAGCCGCCGCCCGCGGGCAGTCAGGCGCGGCGCTCGGCGCTTGGCCCCAGCCTGGCAAGGCCGAGCGCAGGATCCTTGAGGATGCCAGGGACGAGCACGAGGATGGCCAGGCCTTGGCTACCCTGGCAGCTGCTGGGGGCTACGCTCCTATGGGCCCTCGTCGCTCCTAGCCGCTCGGCAGCGGCGACAGCCTGGGGACCCGCGCCGCCTCCGCCGCCGTCAGACTGGCCGACCTTGCACCAGACGCGAGGGGAGCCACGGCGGCAAGGCGGGCCCGCTCCTGGGCCGAGGTGCGGTCGGGACCGCCGAGGCGCCCCCCCGACGGCCTCGAGCGGGCAGACGGCGGGAGGATTCAGCCCTCCGACGTCGCAGCCGTCTGCCCCGCCCCATGGGAGTCGCGGAGCCGCCGCTGGGTTCACGCCAGCCGCCCTTGAGGCGAGAGTGGGCGGGGCTGTGCCAGCTTGTGAGAAGGTTGCCGGGCTGCCCCGTGCAGGCTTCGACGTGCTGGACATCTACGGCAACACATGGGACCGTGCCTTGGAGGTGCTTGAGGCCTACATCGTGCGGGAGGACGCGCGCCTGCACCTCGTCACAGTCCAGGAGGGTCCCCTTGGGCCCCGCCAGCTGGAGAATGCTAGCCGCCGAGGTCGCGGCTTGGGCTACGCGGCCTTCTTGCATGCGGCGCCCATTGGACAGGCGGCCCCTGCCCACTCAGGGGGCGTCGGAGTACTTGCCCGTGGGGACCTTCAGGCGCGGGAAGCCCAGTGGCGAGTACCAGGGAACTTCAAGCACCACATGATCGCCGAGGACCTGATCCACAAGGCTGGGCCTACGTCCAGTGTGATATGGGGGCGGACGGTCACTGGTGAGGCCGACGGAGAGTTGCGCGGTGGGCGAGTCACCGCGTGCCCCTGCTCGGGGCGGCTCCCCCGCGGCGCGGCCCTCGGCCTCAGGCTGCGGTGCGCGGAGCTCCGCAGGGCCATCGACCTGGATCCGTTCATGCTGATCACGGACTGCACGCTCCATAGTCTTGCAGGGTGGTCGCACTCGGGCGAGCTCCCCCTGCCGATGCTCAGAGGAGCACTCGAGGCTGCAGCTTCGCGGCAGGCTTCAGCAGCGGTGCCCTGGGCGCACCGCGACTTCCCCGTGGATGCAGCTGTCCTCACCCTGGGCAGTATCGGCTGGTACTTCAAGTCCGAGCGGTGCCTCATCACGGACGTCGGGGACGCGCTGGACATGACGCTGATGGGGCTGCGTGAGCTTGGCTTAGAGGCCAGCCTAGGGGCGAGGCGCGCCTCGGATCGGCATGAGATGCGAAAGCTGGCCAGTGCCCCGTCTTTGTATGGTTCTTTCTTTTGGGATGCCTGCAGGGAGCTCATCGGGCCAGGAGGCAAGCTCGGCGAGCGCGAGAGGAGCGGGCTGGTCTCCCACCTCACGAACGCGCACTGGCCGCAGGCGAGGCTCCACGGCGCCAGCGGAAGCTGCCACGCCCGCCGCAGGTGCCTCAGGCGCAGGACGTTCGAGTGCCCCATGCTTGCGGCCCAGCGGAGGGACTCGGTCTCGCCAGCGCCGATGTGGAGCGCCGTGTTGGTTCGCCCCCTCGGAGTGGCAGCAGGGGGGAACGCTGCTCGGCGCTTGTTGTCAGCGCCGCCGCCCCCGCAAGGGCCTCGCACGGACGCCATGAGTGTCTGGTGGACACGCAGGCCGCCCGACGTCAAGCCCAATGGCAAGTTGTGCGTGGACGGCTCGTCGGTCGACCCGCAGTTCTGCGCCTGGGGACACGCGGGCTGGGCTATTGCTCAATGCGACGACGACGGCAGCCTCGTCGCGGGCGTCTACGGGACCGTCAGGAGGGCCCTCCAGCCACAGCAGGCTGCTCGTGGCGGTGAGGACTTCGCGGTCTGGAAGATGGCGAACTACGCGGGCCCTGCAGTCGAGGAGGCCCTCATCGGCTGCCACGGCACGGAGGAGAGCCAGCGCAGGGAGCTGGCCTATGCGACGGGCCCGACCAAGGCCGACGCCCACCCCTGGAGCAGGAGCCTCGCCGCCCTCGAGCCTGGCGGCTTCTGGGCGAACAAGGTGGCCGCCCACGGCAGCAGGCAGGCGGTGCTCGACGGGCGACTCACGGAGGCGCAGTGGCGCGGCACCCTGCACGCCTGCCGCTCCGCCGAGCTGGGAGCACGGCTGAGCGCCGAGGACGCCCAGACCGTGGGCGAACATCGCGCCTTGGCGGGCCCCGCCCAGGTGCAGGCCCGCAGGGTTGGCCATGCGGCGGTCTACAGGCAGCATTCCGCGGAGAAGGGCGGTGACAGCTTCCTCGAGTCCGACGTGAGGCGGCAGGTGCGGTTCGCCAACCAGGATGAGCGGGCCGAGCTGCCTACTCCATGCAAGCCGACGGCGCAGCAGCCGCGAGTGGAGTGCGACCGCTCGGCGGCCTGCGCGGGCGGCCTCTCCATCACCACGGCTGGCATCCGCTGCCGCTGCCACTCCCTGGCACACGCGTGCTGCGGTGTAGGTGGGGAGTCCCAGGAGCTGGCGACGT